TGCTGATGCTGTTGAAATTTGGAAGGAACTGAGTGAGATCTTAAAAAGACTACTATTCAATGACAGAGATAAATTACAAGCATTAAAAAAACAAATGGGACAAGCACTATCTCCAGCTCATTTTCTTGCAAATATTCTCAAACCTTAACTGCTGAAGAAGAAGAGTTGGCTATGACATGGACATCCAGCAATAATCCCTCCGTAATGCCAGCTATAATAAACTTCAGAGCTAAGGGTGAACCATTCAAGAAATATATGTTTGCTGATGATGTTTTAAAGAAAGTCACACCAGTGAACTGGTGGAAGTCACTTAAGCTTTTAACAGCAGTAGCTTCTTCTGCTGGTATAGAAAGAATATTTTCTTCCTTTGGACTAATTCATTCCAAACTGAGAAATCGTTTGGGACCTGAAAAAGCAGGAAAGCTTGTTTTTCTTTTCCAGATTATGAACAAACAGAAAAATGAAGGTGAAGATGACTGAGTTAGCTGCAGAAGTCAGTATTTTAAGTTTCTCTTGTTGACCTGGCTGACATAGTCGCTTTAATTTTTGTTTTTGTTTTTTTTAATATTTCATTTAACTATTTTAGGTAAAAAACAATTTTAACAAAAACAAACCTGATTTTAAAAAACTTGAATGTTTAAATTCAAAAATTCATATGCTTGTTTTGTTAAAATATTATATGTTTGCTGTTGAAGAAAAAAATCCAGAATACATAACATTGTTGTTTTAGTTAAATAAAATAATTTAAATGTCTGTCTGGTGATGTTCTCCTCCTAATACAGCATGGCAAGAAAATCCTCCAAATATTAATGATTAACCGGTTGAATTAGAGATCGTTCACCTCCCAATGATTTCATAAATATCTGCTTCAATGAAATAACCAATCATTCATTTTCTGATATAGCTGTAAAACTAATCTGAAAAGTTTTCAAAATAAATCACTTTAAAAATGTATAGTGTGTACCTTCTAAAAATGAAACCTATATCTATCTCTGAGTTGTGAAGAATATGTATTAAGGTTATAACAACCAACAAGCATGCATTTTTATGTAGAAATCCATGATTAAATTGAGTCTTCCTGACTAGTGATTTAAATCATGATTTAAAACAATTTGATTTAAATCAAATCCACCCTGGCAGTTTTGGAATCTTAAATAAGGATAGGTATGATGCAAACTAGAAGGGAGCTTGCTCATTCATACATTACAGGGCTCTTCATTTTCCTCTTAAGCATCCAGCATTGTCCACTGTGGCTGGAGCAAGAGATTGAACTCTTGGGCTGTTATGGTCTGGTTTTTCATAGGGTGGAATCTATGAGGGAAGCACAGAACAGAGGCCACCTCCTGTAGCAGATGTAGGTGGGACCTCACTGTATTAGGAGCTACCCCATGGGGGTTGGATTTCATAGATTCTAAGGCCATAAAGGACCATTGTATTCATCTAGTCTGACCCCTTGTATAACATAGGCCATAGAACTTCTCCAAAATAATTCCTAGAGGATATCTTTAAAAAAAAAAAAAGACATCCAATCTTGATTTAAAAATGGTCAGCGATGGAGAACCCACCACAACCCTTGTTCAGTTGTTCCAATAGTTAATTACACTCACCATTAAAAACTTCCACCTTATGTACAGTCTGAATTTGTCTAGCTTCAACTTCCAGACATTAGATCATGTTATACCGTTCTCTGCTAGATTGAAGAGCCCATTATCAAATATTTGTTCCCCCATAAGTACTTTGACTATAATCAAGTCATCCCTTAACCTTATCTTTGTTAAATTAAATAGGTTGATCTCCTTTAATCTATCACTATAAGGCATGTTTTCTAATTCTTTAATCATTCTCGTGCCTCTTTTCTGAACTCTCTCCAATTTATCAACAACCTTCTTGAATTGTGGACACCAGAACTGAACACAGTATTCAAGCAGCAGTCGCACAAGTGCCAAACACAGAGGTAAAATTACCTTCATACACCTATTTGAGATTCCACGGTTTATGCATCCAAGGATTGCATTAGCCCTTTTGGCCACAGCATCACAGTGGGAGCTCATGTTCAGCTTATTATCCACCATGATCCCCAAATCTTTCTCTGAGTTACTGCATCCCAGGATAGAGTCCCCCATCCAGTAAGTATGGCCTACATTCTTTGTTCCTAGATGTATACATTTTTGTTTAGCCTAATTAAAAAACACGTTGTTTACTTGCGCCCAGTTTACCAAGTGATCCGGATCGCTCTGAATCAGTAACCTGTCTTCTTCATTATTTATCACTCCCCAATTTTTGTGTCATCTGAAAACTTTTAGTGATGATTTTATGTTTTCTTCCAGGTCATTAATAAAAATGGTATAGTGTAAGGCAAAGAATTGATCCCAGCAGGACCCCAATGGAAACATACCCACTCGATGACAATTCCCTGTTTACAGTAACATTTTGAGACCTCTCAGCCAGTTTTTAATCCACCTAATGTTTGCCACGTTAATTTTATATCGTTCTAGTATATTATTCAAACTGTCATGCTGCACCAAGTCAAATGCCTTAGAGAAGTCTGATACGCTATGTCAACACTATTACCTTTATCAACCAAATTTGTAATCTCATTTTAAAAAAAAAATCAGATTAGTTTGACAGAATCTATTTTCTATAAACCCATGTTGATTTGCATTAATTATATTACCCTCCTTTAGTTCATTATTAATCAAGTCCTGTATCAGCTGCTCCATAATCTTGATGGGGTTTAATATCAGCCTGTAATTACCAGCCTACAATTACCCAGGTCCTCCTGATTAACCTTTTTAAACATTGGTACATTAGCTTTCTTCCAGTCTTCTGGAGCTTTCCTAGTATTCCAAGACTTATTGAAATGGTAATGGTCTAGCAAGCTCCTCAGCCAGCTCTTTTAAAACTCTTGGATGCAAGTTATCTGGACCTGCTGATTGTAAAATGTCTAACTTTTAGTAGCTTCTGTTTAACATTCCCCGTAGATACAAGTGGAATAGAAAGAGTGTTTTCATCACCATATGGTGAGACTATATCATCTGTTCCTCTTCAGAAATATATATTGAACACTTCTGCTTTTTCTGCATTATTAATAATACTACTATTTCTATCTAGTAATGGACCAACCCCATTGTCAGGATTCTTTTAGCTCCCAGTATAGTTTAAAAAAATCCTGATTATCCTTAATTCAGCTGTCCATAGACTTCTCCTTGTGTCCTTTTTCTTCCATTATCAATTTTCTACAGTTCCTAGCTTCTGATTTATGTTCATTACTGCCAACTTCTTCTTTCTTCCATTTGTTATATATTTTTTATTTTTTTACAGCTACCTTCACTTTGCCTCAAAACCAGGTTGTTATTTTAAGCAGCACGGCCCTCCTTCCTCAATTGTGGCTTTTGGGGCATCTGGTAATATGTTCTTAAATGATTCCCAATTATCATTCACATTTTTCTGATTAAATGCTTCTTCCTAACTGATTTGGCTCATAATTGTTTTCAACTTTGAAACTGGACCTATTAAAGCACCAAGTGTGTATATATATTACTGGTCAGGACTTTATTCTGCTTCCACATTAGAAATGTGATCAAGTCATGATTTCTTGTACCTAAGTTACCATTAACTTTTAATTCTGTGATCAGTTCCTCTTTATCTGCTAGGACACAGTCTAATAAAGAATTCCTCTGTTTTGGCTGCAACACTTTTTGAGTTTGGAAATTGTCATCTGTAACGTTTAGCAATGCCAAGGATGTTGTAGTACTGGCAGCATGAGCCCTCTAGTGTATGTCACTCAAATTGAAGTCCCCTATGATTATGCAGGTTTTTTTCCTACATGTTGTAGATAGGTGCATAATGAAGTAGCCACCCTGTTCCTTACTGTGATTTGGTGGTCTGTAACAGACACCAATAAATACCCCATTTTGCGTTTAATCTGTTAGGACATTTGTCCATAAACATTCAGGATAATTTTTTTTCTGAGTTATCAGTGATTCAGAAAGAAGGTATTGTTATTTTTGACATAGAGGGCCACTCCCTCTTCCTTTTTGTCTACTCGATCCTTTCTACATAGGTTGTAACCATTGATTTTAACATTCCAGTTGTCATCCCACCATGTGTCATCCCACCATGTTTCTGTAATATCAACTAGATCAAATTTATGCTCATAAAGGAGCAATTTCAATTCTTGTTTGCTACCCAGTTTCCTAGCATTGGTGTATAAAATAATTTATTTTCTTCACTTCCTTTGGGTCCTTGATTAATTTTGTTCTAAACATCTCAGTTTTATGCAGAGTTCTCCTCTTTCCTTTTTACCCTCCCCATTTGTTTGTAGTTTAACCCCCTTCTGACTAGCATTTTTTGTTCACGTTTCATATGCTTGCTTTTGTATACTGAGTGGAGCATAGAACTTAGTAGAAGAGGATGGGACCCAATTGTGCATGTTCCAGTTTTGAATATTAGTGCTTGCCAGTGTCCTCACCTTGTTGTGCTTTCTCCTTGAGCTATTTCATAACCATGGGGGTAAGTGTTGTGAGAGAGATTGTGGGCCTGACCTGTAATCCTTGGGGAATAGCTGTTCAAGGGAACTAGAATAGATTGAATTGAACGAATTCCAGGCTGCACAACTCTGAGCTAATCTCCCAGAGGCAGAGACATTATTCACTAATCAGGAATGTGTGTGTACTTTTCCTAATGAGAACAAAACATTTTATCCCTGTTCATTAGAAGAAAGTTAGCATGTACTGTTACTATGCCATTCCTGAGGACCCAGTTGGGGATGTCTTCTGTACCCTTGGTTGGAAAGGTGAATTGGACCGCTAGCCAAAATCTTGCCCTGGCAAGAAATAGACTCCATTGTTTCCCTGGATTTCCTGGACTTTGTGCAGCTGGCCCAACCTTGTCTTCTGTAGGGGAAAGAGCCCACAGCAGGGCCCAAGGGCAGAGAAGGTTTCATTTACTGAAGAAAATAGTCTTCAAATTTTATGTTGTCTGTTTTTTCCAGCTTGAGGTACGTTGATCAATAAGAGAAATGAAGGTGTCTCAAGGCCGCCCAGAGTCCAAATGGTAAGTGGAAAGCATCGGGATTCTGTACTATGCAACTCTATAGACTAATGCTACAACTCAGGTTCTAGGGGATGGGCTCTCCTTTTCCATTCCTGTTTCTGATTATCTTAGTCAGTGTGATGAGTGGAATGGCCATCAGGTCTGTCAGCTCCTTTGTAGTGTCTGTTTCATGCCAAACACATCAGACCTAATGGTTGCAGCTGAGTTTCTGTTTAGCTGGGCTAGGTTTCCCAAGCACATTTGAGTGTGTGTACCCTTCATAAATAGAAACATTCACTAACACTTTAGTTTGATCAATGCTCTTTCCCCTTTTTCATCTTCCCATCTCTGTACTGGCTCTTCTTCTCAGCAACCACTTCCTCCCTTCCTAGGATTCGGTATATGATTTATAAACTAAAGCAGTACCCAGGCCTACTCTGTGTCTTGCTTAGTGCCAGAAGTCTCTTTGCACATCAGATTCTGAAGCTTGTTTCTTGAAGTGTTAGAATGTAACAAGTGACTTTTAAAGTTAGAAACTGCTGCACAAGTGGATGGTTTTAACCTACCCAAAAATGGAGCTTTCACAGGACGCAGGCCAGCAAATATCAGACAAACTCCTACTTTCCCTGCTGTGATTTATGCCAAGGCTGGGCCAGACAGTGCTGCCAAATATGCAGCCTCAGGGAGTCTCACTCCTCCTGGAACAGGTAGAGATGCTAGTGTAATGTTTGCTGCTTGTACTCCATTGCCATGTGTTGTGTGGTGTGAGCTGCTTTGTGCTTGCTGAGCTCTGTGGTGTTAATATCTTGAGCCCCCTGGGAAACTGATATCTCCCTGAGGCCAGATCACGTTTTTGCTCTCCTGTTCAGCAGGAAACCTCCATCTCCCCACCCTGTGGGAGCAGCTCCCTCCCAGTTAGCAGGGCAGAACAATTTGGGGTAGGTGAGTGAGAGACATCTGGATACCAAATTGTGGCTATTACAGCTGAGAGCCCCAACTGAATGGCTTTGCAAGGGCCACGAACTGGATCTTACTTCCATCCCTTCCTATCCCTTGACTTTCCTGTGAGTAGTGCAGCTAGCAGACCCCTGACTGTCATCTATTAGACTTCCCTTCTTCTAGGGAAACCCCTGATACAGGGTGCTCACTAAATGAAATTCATGGAGTTTTGCACCACACATAAAGGGGTGTTGTGTTGGAGCATGAAGAATGTGCACGAAGGAGGCTTATATCAGGAGGCTGGCAGAAGGCTATTTACTGTACAGCTAGCTACTATGGTGAGAGTACCACTAAAATAAATTCAGAGACCATAGTGAGGGCAGCAGTCTATAAGCCCATCTCTTTCAGGAGTACAGTATGTTATGTCTTGTTCCATCTCAGCAGTAACACTGAGTAAACTCTTGGATGATAAAGATCAAGTGGTAGGAAAATGTATTTAGGGTAACATATCCAAAAAATAAATCCTAATATAATCACCAAGATTGGGGGTCTGGCTTTGCTCAGCTTTACATTATACCATTGAGCAGTGCAAATAAAACCGAGAGCGAGCGGGTTGGACACTAAACCAAAATGACAAAGATTGTGTTTTAAATAGAGAATAAAGAAATAACAGATTATTTAGCTACATAAGGTTAGCTTTTCTGGACCTATAATCATATGCAGCATAGAAATAAAGGAATACAGACAGAGGACAGAAGCCTGTCAGTGTCCAGAATCCCCCTGATATTTCAGGAAACGTTAACTGTAGGAGACACCCATCTGATCCTACCAAATGATCTGTGCTCAGTACTCCAGTGGAAGAGGAAAATGCCCTTGTTTCCTGCCAGCATGTGCTTAGGGAAAATTCTTTCCTGAACCTATAACTTAGCATTGCTTTCAGCTCTGTACTTGGGAGCACTAATCACCATGGTTAAATCATCTCATTTACATACCCTGCGTTATCACTCGTATCCAAGCAACGGTCCACTATACTCTGACACTCCAGTAGTAGATATTCTGCCAGTATCTCCTGGGAGAAAGGCTGTCACTCCCCTCCCTCCATTTCCCTGTGATGATTAGGGGAGAGAAGAGAGGTCCTGTGCATGTAAACTTCATTGTTAAAAATTTCCAGTAGAGCCAACCTGTTTTCCCACTGAATCAAAGTAAATCCAAAACTACTGTGCTGCTCCTCGTAAGGTCCTTGCACTCTTCAGGAGCCGCCCCCAAACTCTCATCACCTCATCTCCTATCAGAGAAGTTAGATGAGAAGGACTGATTGGGCTATCTACTCATCTTCTCACCTCCCTTGACCCCAGACAGCATGAAGGATGCCATTTTGAAGAGCACTGTACATGTGAGGTGTCACTGCATGGAGGAGGCCTCTGCACAGCATACCCTCATATGTATTGGGAGTGCTTTGTGGGGGATGCCATTTTGTAGAGCAGAATGGTATCCTCCATCCATCATGATCTCGTATGCTCCATAAATGTGAAGTCACGCTGTGCGAAGCTAAGTGGCATCCTCCACACACTAGGGCAGTGTTTCTCAAACGGGGGTTGCCGCTTGTGTAGGGAAAGCCCCTGGCGGGCCGGGCCGGTTTGTTTACCTGCCCTGTCCGCAGGTCCAGCCGATCGTGGCTCCCATTGGCCTGGAGCAGCGAACCACAGCCAGTGGGAGCCGCGATCGGCTGGACCTGCGGACGGGGCAGGTAGACAAACCGGCCCGGCCTGCCAGGGGCTTTCCCTACGCAAGCGGCAACCCCAGTTTGAGAAACACTGCACTAGGGATTTACACAACCCCATCTGCTGATGGTGCATCCCCATTTGGGGTCACAACCCACAGTTTGGGAACCAATGCCCTACTGTCTCAGGAAAAGATCTAGCAGTCAGTGAAGGTTTCTGCTGACTGCCCTGTGATGGTTCAGAGAAGTGGGTGGGTTGGTTGCTATTTTTGTTTGTTAAATGGGGAGAGGGAATGGCAGTGGATATAATAAATCGGTGTTACAACTGTCCTGTGAATACTGCTTTCACATCTTTGGATAAGTTGTCATAAAAAAGACACAGAAGAACTAGAGAAGGTCTAGAGAAGGGCAGTAAAAATGATTACAGGCAGCAGAGTGGGTTGGTCCATATGAAATGGAATTAAAATCACCATTGTTGTCTAGTTTAGAAAGAAGAAGAGAAGGAGATAAGGCAGGTTGGTTTATTTGTTTGAAATCTAAAGGCTAGTTGGGGTCTTGTTTTATTCTTTCCACTAATACAAGAGCAAGGGGGAACTTGAAGGCACCAAATTTAAGATTTCATACTTTTTGTACTCCTCATACAGTTAATCTCTGGAATTTTGTGCTCCAGAGCATAGAGGCGAATAGTTTGATTGAGAGAAGTGTTACATTATTTACATGAATAAGAGCAGCAACACTAATTAGGATAAAAATTACAGACTTCTGATCCACATGATTCAAGATGTTAACACATTGCCAGGTGTTCTCAGGAAGGAATTTTCCCCATATTATAGTACTTTATGCATCTTTTGAGATTTCTGATATTGGCCACTCTTGGAGAAGTGAGATTGGTCTAGTTGCCCATGTTCAAGAGGCCTGGAAAACTTCAGTTTAGAAAAGCTTTTAAAACATTTTATCTTATGAAATATTTAAAAATCCACAAAGCTGCCCACTTCTGCAGAAAGTGCAGACTTTCCTGAACTCATTGGCTGGTTCCAGCAAGATTCTGTGGCTGCTGTGGCATCACATCCCCAGAAAAGTACATGCTTGCGCACCACTTGGAACAGGAGCCTGAGAGCTGCAACATGTTTGGATAGGGTGACCTAAACCAGGTAGGTTTGAGGTTTCACTAAGTATCTGCTGAATATTCTTTCTCTGGTGGTTTATTTGGAGTATTCAGCACAGAATTGTAATCTAGATTGGCTTTATAAATCATTTTTAAAGAATAATGGAGAGCCTGGTTCTCATTTACCCTAGGGCCACTATACACTGCTCTTGCTGTGTAAATGTAATTACTCAAGCAGTGTAAAGGGGCCTTAGTGTACATAAGAACTGGGCCCCACATCTCTGGAAAAACCCCAGGGATTGGCTCATGCCATGTGGAGAGGTTGCCCATCCAGAGGCAAGTCAAGATGAGCAGGGTAGATTTATATAGATCTTGGTGCTGTAAGAACTTTCAAATACCATATACTTTTTACAAAGGTCAAGAAAGAAAGTAGTTAACACCAGTGATGGGTGTATTTCAAACCTTGGGTGTTGGCATGTTAGTGGAAGGGAAAGTGAAAATCTTTGTTTTGAGTGGAGGGGAAGTCAAGAGTCCTGGTTCTGGTGCATATTGCAAAAAAACTCCCACAGCTAGGGAAGACAGTGTGGAGGCGAGTACTCTGAGCAGAGAAGAATTGTGGGGCACTCTTCCACTGCAAGGTATTCTTTTTTTTAATGCTCTGAGCTGTTATAACCCTCTCTCCAACAAGAATTGCTACTTAAAAGATGGACCATCTCATGCAATGCAATTTCAAGTGTATTCTTATTACTTATACCCTGAACACTGGAAAACAAAAAATGGAATAAAATCTTGTTTGCGTCAAATGCTGTATGTCGTTCAAAAGGGTTTATTCATCTGGCAGTGTCTATCTCATTATTAAATTACAGTTGCATCTGAATTGAGCTGAGATGTATAGCAAGACACGGTTCCTATTCCAAACAGCTTGCAATTTAAAAGGTTAAAACCTAAATAAGGCCACATTTTTAAAAGGGCTCAGCACACTGGGAGCGTGTTGAGTACTGAGGACTTGTGAAAATCTAACCCTTATTTAGGTGCCTGAATAGAAGCTGAAATTGTCTCAAAAATCTGGCCCTGAGCTCTTTTGAAAATCTGATCCCATGAAGTGTGTGATGAGGGAGGAGAAGGGGTACAGCATACAAGCAGAATGGCCAGGCTGAATGGTAAACGTTTGTTGTATCACACAAACATCTGTATAGGAAGCGATTTCTAATGTCATCTATTCTGTTACCCTGTAGTGTGCAGGATCAATCTTACTCC